AAGCAAAGATAGTACCAATAGTTATAGGCGCCTTAGGTGCAATCCCAAAACATCTGGAGCATCACTTGAAGACCATTAACATTGACAAAATCAACATCAGTCAATTGCAAAAGGCAGCTTTACTTGGAATAACTTATATCCTGTGACAATACCTTTAACATCATTAAATAGCATCTGCCTATCCCAGGTTCTTGGGAAGGATGTGACAGGTGGATAAAAATGCCAAATCCGGTCTAAACATTTGGGTGACTGTGTGACCAATCATAATAATAGAATCAGAATCATAAATTATTCTTTCAAAATATGAGAAAGTGCAATTAGCAAAGACACTTATAAATCTCAGCTTCAGTTTGAATTTAAATTTGGAAACAGGAAAGGTTTATTAAGTAGATCACTTACTGTAAAGTTGTACAGTTCTTAATTCCTGGAGCCAAAGCTTTGATGTGATGAGATTTCAACCTGCAGAAATTTAAGGTAAGGGAATGATCCTCAATTGTACTATGCTGCAGACAGAATGCCAGGACTTTGCAGTCTAACACAGACAGTGTGTTGGAAAGGTCAATACTTTGGAAATGATGCATTGCACGCCTTGCAAATTCTGGCTCCTGGCTCTCAAACAAACAGTGAAAAAAATTTAGCAGGCAGTAGCCTTGCTGAAGAAGTTCCTCAGCAGCTACTTCTTCTACTTTCTGCAATAAGAGAGGCTTTACAAAGTCAGAAGTCTTGCACTGCAGGGTTTGCTCAAAGAAGATGTGCATCTTTTCACTTGTCAGGCCAAATACGAAACACACAGTTAGTGCAAAATGCTGATTATGTGGCTTCTCCCATTCAACCAATAATCTCTGCAAGTCCCCCATAATGTTATCCATCTCTTCTGTTGACTCCTCTGGCAGTATGTACCACATGGCAGCAAAAAACTCTTGAAAGCAAAGATGGAAAAAACTGTAGAGATTGCACCAGCCCAAACCCCTCCTGAATGCTCTTTTATCTAAAAAGAGGTCTTTTAGAACAGAAACATCCAAGCTATGTTCCTTCAGATCCTGCTCTTCAAAGAGGATTTTTTGTTGCATTATGCCAGCTCTCGCCAAAGAACAAAGTTTTCTGAACTCATTGTGAGGGGAGGTTTTCCATCTGGGATTATCATGTTTAAGGAGAATATGAGAAAACTGCACAAACACTTTTGTTGTGGTGTCCAAGGTATCTGCAATCTCATCTTCAGTTTCCAATTCTATTTTAATCACAGAACAAATGATCCAGCACACCATTGGGATGAAGCAGATGGTAGACACTGCAACAGTATTTTCAATAAATCTCAGTGCAATATTGGCTTTCCGCTCATCTTCAAAAAACTTGAAAAAATATTCACGGCGACCTTTTTCAGAGAAGCCAACGATTTCAGTGAACCTGGGAAACTTCAATCTCCGCTGCAATCTCTCTCGAGCACCAGGCCTTGTGGTGATTAAGAGGAAGGACTCTGGCAAGAGTATCTTCCTCAGTAGGCTGTTTAGAATACTTTCCAAAGGCACCTTTAAATTAGGCTTGTCACACAAGTAACCTCCTTCAGGTTCTAAAAAGCAAGGAAGCTCATCAAAACCATCAATGATAAAAAGCAGCTTTTCAGAGTAGGCTAAGATTTCTTCCACTGGGGCATCTCTGTCCTGACACTGCTCAACAATAAGATCAGCCAAGCTGCTGGCTTTCTCAGCAAAGTTCAATTCCCTGCAACGAATGCAAAACACATAATCAAACATATCTGAATAGAGCTTCCCAGCAGCCCAGTCCAGCATGATCTTCTGCACAGTCATGCTTTTCCCAATCCCTGCAGGTCCTTGCAGCACTACTGTTTTTGGAATTATTCCTGATACTTCAGGCTCAAATAAATCTTCAATATCAGTTGATAAATAATCACTGTTGGTTCTCAGGATCTCCAGGTGCAACCTGCCAGTGGCAAGGAGTTCATGTTCCTTCTGCTTCTGAGGCTGATGCATCTTGATAATAAGCAACTCTGCATAGCATGAATTCAAAGGAATGCTCTCACCACATAGACTGTTCCTTTCTTCTGTCATTTGGCATTCTTCCTTCACATACCTGGCGTACTTTTTTTTGTAACCTAGAAAAGAGCCAGAAAACAAAGAGAATGCCCCCACCACCTAGTATGATATTGTTCATAACTTAGTGGTCTATCAAAAGAGATCCCCCATCTCACAATGGTTCTTCTTCATGTCCATCTGTATCATTCTTCCACAATCTAGTACCTTCTATCAAAGGCTACACTGACTAGGGATTATGAAAGTCACAGTTTAATATTTCTAGAGGGCAGTTTGAAGATGGCAGATATAGACCACTGATTCCTCCAATAACTTTTTGTGCTTGTTTGTTTTGCTCAAGGTTGTCAACAGCAAGAGAGACATCCTAAAGAAGACATGATGCTCGTCTGCTACACTACTTCTGAATAGGCTAGGTAGAAACAAATTCTAGTTTAGGCTTTTTTTTCCCTATCTACCTTACCTTATATGGCTTGTATCTTTCATTATATAGGAGTAGACCTATTTAGACACTAACATTTGTTAGCAGTGTTGCAAAGATTAAGCTTACTCCTGTTCTCTCTAGTGCAGGTTTCTAAATTACCATTCACTCACTACTCCAATGGTATGACAGAGCAATATCAATCTAGAACAAATCTAACTAGTTGTATCTCCCAATGCACATATTTATCTGATGTTAACACAATTCACTCTTATATCTCCCAATCCTGTGGTTTTTCCTCCAATAACTTTTTGTGCTTGTTTGTTTTGCTCAAGGTTGTCAACAGCAAGTTCCTCCAATAACTTTTTGTGCTTGTTTGTTTTGCTCAAGGTTGTCAACAGCAAGTTCCTCCAATAACTTTTTGTGCTTGTTTGTTTTGCTCAAGGTTGTCAACAGCAAGATGTTAACACAATTCACTAACTCTTATATCTCCCAATCCTGTGGTTTTCTAGATTGTTTTTGAATTTCCACTTTAAACATGTTCCAAATATTAAGTTTTTATACACTCTTATAAATTCCCTAGCTGTTCTTCAAAAATAAAGGCAAAATGATGCATTTATCTTGAGGTTTATATACAGGTAGCTCTTGCTTACCAACCACAAATTCAGCGACTGAAGTTGCGACGGTACTGAATGAGTGGTACTTATGACTGGTCCTCAAAGTTCCGACTGTTGCAGTGCCCCTGGTGTCACATGGTTGGAATTCAGGCAACCGGCTCACACTTAAAACAGTTGCAGCATCCCTTGGTCACATGATCATCATTTGCGACCTTCCCTGCCAGCTTCCCACAAGCAAGTCAATGGGAAGGCCAGCAGGGAAGGTTGCAAGTTGCTCTGGTAAATCCCTCCAGCCTCCTGTATTTGCACCTCACCACGCCATCCAACCCCGACCTTCCTGCACTCACGCCCCACCGCACCATCCTTCCTGCATTTGCACCATGCCACACCCCTCCCCCGGCCTCTTCCAACTTGTGCACATGGCCTGCACCAGGCCTCCCAGGGCCTCCCCCACTCCCCCAGCACTCCTTACCTGAGACTCCCACCACTTCCCGCTTAACGACCCTGCACCTCTTAGGCTTAGGACGGCCCAGGGACTGCCAGGATTGTCATCACTAAACAATGCTGTCATGTGACATCTCACTTTACAACTGTGTCGCTTAGTGACGGAAATCCCAGTCCCAATTGCCATCATAATCTGAGGACTATCTGGACATTTATATAAACAATTATAATGGCTTATAATGAGGCATTTACATACCATGAATTTGACCCTTGAGCTCTGAAAAGGAAACACAATAGTTAATTAGCATTAACAAGAGTTCAATTTTAAAGGTCCCACTGAACCAAAGTATAGTTGATTATATCTTCAACACACTGTGAAAAATTAATGGCTTTGTATCAAGTATATTATTATTACTACTATTCCATCTTTCTCTCTCTCTCTCTCTCTCTCACACACACACACGGCAGCATCCATACCTAATACTCCTGCCTCCTATTTTCCCTATGAGAACCCTGTGGGGTGGGTTGGACTGAGAGTGACTGGTCCAAAGTCACCCAGCTGGCTTTCATGACTAAGGGAGGCCTAGAATTCAGTCTTCTGGATTCTAGCCTGGTGCCTTAACCACTAGACCAAACTGGCTCTATCTAACATGGAAATAAAGTTCATTTCATATCATGTGGTTCATCAGGCAGATGTGATAAAATAGATTTGATTTATGACAACTTACAATCCTGGTTCAGGACTATTTTTACTAGGAGGCAAGAAAAGAAAGAGGGAGGGGGGGAGAGAGAGAGAGAGAGAGAGAAATAAATAAATAACTGACTGACTGACTGACTGACTGACTGACTG